AAAAAACAGCTTGCTTTATAAGTTATAGTTGCAAAATGTTTCTTTCATCAAAGGTTTTTTGTGAACAATACACCCAATTTTTTTTTTCAGTTTTTTCCATTTTATATTTACTTAGTTTGTAGCTATAATTATGGTTATTTTTACCAAGATGCATTATATTATATTTTTCCTTGTTGAAAGCACTGATCTCTATAATAACTGAATAACGCATCTCTATTATCAAAAGTGAAGCCAATTTTTTGTACGGCCGCCATATTGGAAAGCCCCAGAATACCGAAAATACAGTGATTGCGCTTGAAGATGTACCTTTTTACTTCGTTTATATCTACTTGACCAAGTCACATATTTCAATGATATTATTATATTTAAAATGTTTGAAGGTGTAAAAATTATAAAAGAGAATCAAAAACACCCAAAACATTAACGACGGAGAGAAATATCGCTATAAAGAAATGATAATATTTGTATTGCTTTCTATGAACTTGTTAAATTTATTGAATTCATGATATTCTAACTAAAACTTTTCTGAAAGACAAATTGATATTTGATCTGGTTAATTTTGGGTGTTTATTTTAACAACTTGATGCGACCTTACTTAGCAATAGTAGCTGGAAAGTAAATTTACAAGTATAAAACATGATAAAAACATTGTATCAAACATTTTTGTAAATGGTTTTCTAATTTTTGAAACTCTAAGGGCATGTTTATATTGTTCCACAACTGAAATATCATCAACTATGTAATACTTTATTAAAATTGATATCACTTAATAACAATGTTTTGTTCTGTTGCTTTGCTAACTTTAATTACACTTTGTGAAGGTTTGAAAAAGCCATCTCTAACTTTAAAAAACACTATATATTTGTTGATAACTAGTTATTTGCAGTTTTACATTAAAGTATTTAGTGTTTTAGACTAAGTAACAGCATCACATACATGTTGATTGTTTATATGTAAATATGGTATAAATGAAAACAGACATGGTTTCTTTCAAGTTTTTTTAAAACTATTGACTCTAAAGTAAAATAATAATGATTCAGCTAACATCTATCAGTTTTATACTGATAAATATTAGTTGTATAATTAATAAATATTAAAAATATTTCTTGTGAAAACAAATAAGCAACATAAAAGACCAAAATGAAAGGTGAACAATTTTTTTTATAAGTGTACTATTTTTTTTTACTTTTCCCTACCACATAATAACTTTATATTCAATGTTTATTTTGTTATTCAATGCTTATACAAGTTATTCAATGATTATTTTGTTCAAGATGATAGAGCTAACTATTATTTTATTTACATTTTTTTACTTTAACATATTCTTTTGTAATTGCAATATAAAAATTTGTTTTAATAGGTTTTTTTTACTTACTCCCAAACAACAAAACTTAAAAATTCACACTTTAAAATATAACTGAGTCAGGGAAAAATATAAAAAGTCAGGGAATTTAATTGTTGAAAGTGGCTGGCCACCCTGTATACATAATTTATACATACATATATATATATATATATATATATATATATATATATATATATATATATATATATATATATATATATATATATATATATATATATATATATATATATATATATATATATATATATATATATATATATATATATATATATATATATATATATATATATATATATTGATGTCACTCTCCATGAAATAATCTGAACATATAACATCAGATTTACTCGGTTTTTAATAATCAATGCATTTATAAGGTTTTTGCATTTTTTATTTATCAAGCGAAATCTGTGTTTTAAGCGCAAATAAGTTTAACGCAACTACGCATTTATAAATTCTGGGGCTTTCCAATATGGCGTCTTTTGGCTTCAAAAATTTCGAAATTTTATTAGGAGATGCGCTATCCAGTTATTATATAGATCAGTGGTTGAAAGTCATAGACCATGTTTTAGGCCATTTCCATATTTTATTAACAGTAATTTGTAAATTTAAATGTTTCATTAGAAACAGCAGCTAATATCTTTGTGTCATCTGCAAACAGATTGCAGTGACATGTAATATTGTCCATCATATCATTAATTTATAGAACAAATAGTATGGGTTCCAGCACCGAGCCTTGAGGTACTCCCCTAGTTACCTGTATCCAATTTGATGTAGAATCTCCTGATAAGACTCTGTTTTCGATTGGTCAAAAAATTATGATCAATGCATTTTATTAATTAATTATCTATCTCATATTTGCCTAATTTATAAATAATTTTTTTTATGGGAAACTTTATCAAATGCTTTGGCAAAATCAAAGTAAATAATATATATTGATAAGTCTCAACCTTTTACTGTGATTGTTTCAAAGTGCTTCTTAAGTTCTTACTCGTCTATTTTTTCCTAGTACATCAATTTTTTGGAATTCACTTCCTTTATTTTGCTTTCCTTATTCATTTAATTTTCAATCAATTTTTAAGTCGTCTGGCAATCGTTATCTTACTCTATAAACTTCATCTTTTCTCTTCCAGTAACTTCCAACTGGAAGAGAAAATTGGTATTGATAGATTTAGATAACTTGTAAGAAAATCATAAGTTTCCAACAAATTAGTAGTATAACTTATTTAAGGAAAAAATCCACGCTGCTTCGCATTATTTAGTTTGTTGCTATTTAAGTAAAATATTAGGCAAACTTTATCCAAACTTTCCATTAACTTGCACAAAACCAATGTTTAAGACACAGGTCTATAGTTTCCATGTTAAATTTTGTTTCCCTTTTTAAATAACGGAACAACATTTGCTAATAGCGATTCGTTTGGCAGAGTAGAGGAAATGAATGATTTGATTAACAACATAGAGAGGGTGCTGAAATAGTTGAGGTCAAATTTTTCAATACTGATGGAAAAATAGAATCATAACTCATAGATTTATTATGATTTAATGATGCAATTTTTTTCAGAACGTTTTTTAGGAGAATACTCTATTTGGATCAAAAATATGTTGATCTGAAAGTGTGTGCAAGAAATGAGAAAATAAATCTCAGTTCACAGGGTACAACAGGATCATGGTCGTACCTTGATTAAACACATTCTTTAATCCATGAGTCAATTGGAGAAGTTTTCTTAAAACAGGCAGTTTTAGATACATTTAGTTTGATGGCTTTAAAAAATGAACATTAATCAAAAAGAATACATATTAGCGGGATTAATAAAAAGGACATTCTTACTCAATCAATAACAGAAAAATTTACCAATAAAATCACAAGTTTTAAGTGTCATAATTGAGCTGAAAGATAATTGCTGTTCCACTATAGCATTCCGTTCCTAAATAAAAATTTATTTCAGTCAAAAAAGTTCGAAAAATTGTAAAGTTGTTCTTGAAATCTTCAGTCATCAAAATTCTTCAAGAAGTTAAAAAAAGCAAGATTGAACAGTTTATATTCAGCAAGATTAAACAATTTATTGGAAATGATTAAACAGTTTCTCAAAATCAAAAATCAAATTAGAATTGTTCTGACTGATATTGCTTTAAATCTCATTTTTACTGAAGTAGAGTTTGACATTTTGAATGACATTGTTAATGCAATTGAAATTGTCAAATAGGCAGCAGAGGCCCTTTGCAAGAAAAATGCTAGAATTTTAACTGCAGGGGGAATCTTCATTTCCTGATAAACAAAGAAAAACCAGAAAAAATAGAGTCTTTGCATCTAAATGAGAGATGCAATTATAAAGTGATTTGCTGAGAGATGACAAAACATCTGTCCATTTTGTCTTCACAAGACTGAAAAGGATGAAATTTTCAACATCAAAACTGTTCTCAAGAAAATTACCAAATCTTTATTTTAAAAGCTTTTACCCACATAAATTATATAAATGTTTTTAATTCTTTTATTTATTACAATGCATTACAAATCCAATCCAAGGTAATCAAAATATACATAAATAACAAATTTTTTTATCAAACTATCTGTAAATTTAAAAACCTACACAAGATCAACCCTAGTGTAAAATAGGAAACATCTTGCAAAAAATCCAAGAAAATCAAAATTAAATAAAATCCAAGAGAACCATTACTTAAAATACGGACCCTTAAGGTTACACTTTCTAGATTAAACTAGATGAAAGTTTGCAATGTTTTTTAAATTTCATTAATATATTTTTTGACATTTTAAGAAAAGTTATTGGAATAGTTTTTATAATTAATACAAAAGAATTAATGCAAAAATAATAATATTCAAAATAACAAAATAATATTCAAAAAAAAATTCAGATAGTTAAATAGTAACTTATATAATCTTAAATTTTTACAACTATTTTTTTCAATGAAATCTGATGAAATCTGAAAAATGTTGTTCAGAGATATAAAGTTCTAAAAAAGAAAGCCAAATATAACTACACGCAACTAAAAACTGCAAAAGTTTAGGCGACCAAAAAAATCCATAAAGAAAAAAGTATCCAAAAAGAAGACATATCATTTTCAATTATTTATGTTATTTAAAACTAAAGAATCTAAACCCTGAATTCAAAAAATAATAGATTCCAGACTCTTGAAGTCATTTGGAGAGATTTCGAAATTAGGGTTTTGGAGGTAAAAATATTGAATAAACCGTGGAGTACTTTTTTTAACTTTCCACTAAAAGCAATTAGAGAAAAAAAAACCTTTGAACGACCTTTAGAAAAAAAAAATTCAATATTAGTAGGTATTAGGATGAAGCTATTATCAACATTTACTTGTAAATTGGTAAATAAAGCATAGTATACTAGTTAATATTGGTTAATACTAATAATGGTAAATACTAGTAAAAAACTGGTAAAAAACAAAAAAACATAAAAATGTATGAATTTTTTTTTTTATAAAGTCTTTATAAGATTTAAATATTTATTGATATTTGATATTTTTTGATAAAAAATAAGTCTTGATGAAACAAAGTGTATTAAATAAGTTTTCATTCATTATGAATCAAATTTTTTGTCTCAAATAATCCAGTATCAGAAATGGCTCACTAAGACAAATACTTGTTGGAAGTTTAAGATTGACAGTTCTTTTTCCAGTAGCCTCATAGACCAACATTTTTTTCAAAATGACTTTAAATTTGTTGTAATAGTTATGATGCTGTATTTTGCTGTTTATTGGCCGAATGCTGATTCAAAATTAAAAGTTAAACATTTTTTACATATCACAATATTGAATGAAGTAGCTGTAAACAATTTGTAAACAACAGCAAGACAATACCAAGTAAACTAAATTCATCCAGTGCTGTTAGTCTTGATACTATTTCTTCAATTTATTGCTTTGTGAAAAAAGTTAGAAATACAACTTTTTTGATATTTTTTAATTCCATATTTTCTGTCTAGGTAATACCACATTCCAATTTTAGAACTTGAATATTTACTGGCGTTTTTACATATTTTGCAAGTCAGTGGTTTTCCTTTAATTAAAATGTAGTGTTTCTAAACATCTGATATTTTGAGCAAAAGCTGATAAAATAAAAAATGCACATGAGTTTTTGTTTTTGCAAACGCCACAAGAAAGTAATTGTCTTTCTTAAAATGTTCAAAACTTAAATAAAAGAAGTTTCCGAAAAACAAACAAACAAAAAAAAAAACATCTTAGTTAACAGAAAAGTGATTTATAAAATTTTAAGTAAATTTTAATTTATTAATCTAGCTATTTCAAATCTTTCAAGATATTTAGTTGCATTTTTGAGCATAATATTGTTTTTTAGATTTGTTTTTTTAGATTTTTATTAAAGAGATAAATGAGATGGAGCTCTGATTACATAAAAAAAAACAATATATATATAAGATGAGACTTGTATCTGAGTTTCTAATGGTGATAAACAAATCATAACGAAATTTAAAAAATTAGAAAAAATAATACTATTAGGTACTGGTGAAAATCTTTTTTTTTACAGCAAAATAATATTCACAAAGATAGCAAGAAAAAAAAAATTACTTTCATAAATGAAGATTCCAAATGAATTGTTTAATTTATAGTATAGTATATTAAAACCATTATTTACTGATATTTACCAATATTATTTTTAATAAATCAGTAAAAAATTTTACCAATATAACAGTAAATTTTCATTAAAAGCTCAATCCTAGTATGTATACATCTAGTAAGTATACATCTAGTAAGTATACATCTAGTAAGTATAGATCTAGTAAGTATACATCTAGTACGTATACATTTAGTAAGTATACATCTAGTAAGTATACATCTAGTAAGTATACATCTCATAAGTATGCATCTAGTAAGTATACATCTAGTAAGTATACATCTAGTAAGTATACATCTAGTAAGTATATATCTAGTAAGTATACATCTAGTAAGTATACATCTAGTAAGTATACATCTAGTATGTATACATCTAGTAAGTATACATCTAGTATGTATACATCTAGTAAGTATACATCTAGTAAGTATACATCTAGTAAGTATGCATCTAGTAAGTATACATCTAGTAAGTATACATCTAGTAAGTATACATCTAGTAAGTATACATCTAGTAAGTATACATCTAGTATGTATACATCTAGTAAGTATACATCTAGTATGTATACATCTAGTAAGTATACATCTAGTAAGTATACATCTAGTAAGTATGCATCTAGTAAGTATACATCCAGTAAGTATACATCTAGTAAGTATACATCTAGTAAGTATACATCTAGTAAGTATACATCTAGTAAGTATACATCTAGTAAGTATACATCTAGTAAGTATACATCTATTATGTATACATCTAGTAAGTATACATCTAGTAAGTATAAATCTAGTATGTATACATCTAGTAAGTATACATAAATGTATTTAAAGCTAAATTAAATCACAACAAACTTATGATCATTTAACTTGGTACCAATATAACCATTATTAAAATTTTAGGTTTAACACCCAAAAAATAACACCACCACCACTATCTGCCTGTTTAAAAGTTGATAAAAACTTAAAATTGTATAAATAAAAATGTAGTTATAATAAATTTATAAAAAAATTGAAAATAAAATTAAAAATTTAACATTTTAATGTTCTATGATAATCGTTTAAAAAACTAAATAAACTTACTATTTCCTGAAGCTGGTAAAGGAAGTGAAACTAAAAAATAAAAGTGAATATATAAAAAACTAAAAAAATTACAATAAAGAAACAATAAAGTGTTCGATGAAGTGAGTAAGATTAAATAACAAGAAGCTGAGAAAGCATGACAAGTGAAAAAATACTGGTAACAATAGCTAGACTAAAAGATAGCAAGTCAGGAAAGGTAGCAATAATATAAATAATAATAATAATAATAATATTAATAATAAACAATAATAATTACAAGTAAAATTAAAACAAACAACAAAAAATATTTGTCAAGAAAACATTTGAAAATATAAAGTTAACTAACTTACTTGTTTCAGTACTTTTAGAGGCTAAAAAAGAAACAATAAAATAAAAAAGATTCACACATCTTTATGCGGCATTTTATCTTTTATACTTCAATACAAGAAAGTAATAATGTCATTATTAACAATTGGTAATATTCCCTTGAGAAAAAAACTGCCAAATTTAGTTCAACATGAACCTGCAATGGCAATCAAATCACTGTGTAAACAAACAAATAATCTGTTTTTGTTATCTAAACAAAAGACAAAAAATGTAACATTTTGGACTCTAAGCCCTAAATGAATTAGTGAAACAGTTGGTGGATGCTGGTTATTAAAGCTCCATAAATGTCACCCTTCTAGTCTCTGCCAATTATGCTGCAAAAATCTTCATTTTCAAAAAAATTTCCCAATTTTATAGAGACATAATGACATCATTTATATATAAAATCCTACACATAAATTACCTAATCTGAAATTTAAGTAAAAAATTACTTCGACTAATGTTAGTAACTATACTTAAACTCACTTATGCAACTAACATTATAAAAAGAGTTAGGAAATGTTCATAATGGACAGTTACTGAAAAGTTTAAGATTCTTGTAAAAAAGAAAAAACTAAAAGTATCACCATCTTGAATTTGTCAGAATATTTTGATGAAACTGTTATGAATGAAGGCTATAAAAGCAAACTATCACCAACCACTTCTTTTTTTAAGGAGAATGTTTTTAAATCATTGGAAAAAAAAATCTTTAATGCTCAAAAAAGTCAGCTGTTCAAAATATATTCTGAATGAAAATAACCAAGATTTAGAACTGATATTAGATCTTAGAAAAAAAAATTATAAAAATAATATCGTGTTTTGTATCAGTTAGGGATGGCAAAAAAAAAAAATCCGAAATTCCAGGATTAAAAAATCCATGAAATTTTTAATCCTGGAATTTCGGAATTGAGAAATTTGTCTCCGGGAAATACCGGAAATGAATAGAAAAAAACGCAAACCCAATTAAATATAAGCACTCATCAAACACTTTAAAACACTCATCAAACACTTAAAAATGATTAATTTAATGGTAATATAACTAAAATATTTAATACATTAATGAACCTCTAAAATTAAGTTAAATCATGTTTTAACTCAATTTTGTATTGAAACTTATATAAGATTTTTAAAAGTTAATAAACCTAAGTATTATAAATTATAAAACAATACCTTAAAATGGTAACACAGTATAAATAAAAATTAAAATTAAAAAATAATGTAAATATGCATGACATTAAAAAAAACTTTCGTAAATCACACATTTTCATAAATCATACATTTGAAAATTAACATAAATGGATATAAAAATGGAATTAAAATCGCACATACTTTTGGAAGCAGAAAATTCAAAATAAAATTAATGTATACCTTCTATTAAAAACTCTTTCTCTTTTCACTAGCAAGTGCATAAATTTTATTTATTTTTATAACATACTAGTTTTAATATACTATTTATTATATATAGTATAATATCAAAACTAGTATATTATAAAAAATAACAAAAATAGATTGCTGGTGAAAGGAGGAAGAGTTTTTAACAAAAATTTTTAACAGGATATTCTGTGAAAAACTGCTGGATCACGAGCCAGCAGTTTTTCTATGATTTAATTATGATTACTACAAATATAATCATTTTTGATTACTACAAATATAATCAATTTTCTATGATTTAATTATGATTACTACAAATATAATCATTTTTGATTACTACAAATATAATCAATTTTCTATGATTTAATTATGATTACTACAAATATAATCATTAACTTTTTATTTGTTTATTTTTAATATTAAAAAAGTATGATTTTTAAATGTTTACTTAGTTTATGTATGTTATATGTGTGTATGCTTATTGTTAATCATATTATATTTAAAACTGATGATACTCCTTTAATCAGAATTCTGTTAGAGTGACACCATCCTTAATGATCAATTAGTTATTATTATTAAATACTTATAACTAATTAACTCATTATTATTTACTTTACATTAATATTTTATATATATATATATACACACACACACACACATATATATATATATATATATATATATATATATATATATACACATATATATATATATACACATATATATATATATATATATATATATATATATATATATATATATATATATATATATATATATTATATATATATATATATATATATATATATCTTGTTGTTGTTGTTGTTGTTGTTGTTGTTAATGTAAATCAAAGACATTTTAATTTCTTTAGATAAATTGCTTTTAATAACTGGAAGATTATAAAACTTGAGCAAAATATCATCTTACATTACATAATTACATTTGTCACACAAATGGCTTGATGAAACTTCTAAATCATCAGGAGTGATACCAACTAATTTTTTTTTTTTTTAATTTTAAATTTTTGTAACATTTGCTGAACATTTATTAAATAAGTACCATTTTATAAGTATAGGCACCTTATTTTTGTCAATGTTTTCCAAATGTTTTCTCAATAGCTGTTCTGAACTGATTCTTCACTGTAAAATATCACTAGTAAAATGTCTGAGACAAACTTTATGACTCATAATAAATAAATGTTTTAGTAGCTCAACAATCCCATGAGAAAAAGCACATGAAGTATTTTTGGTTAAACTTTTTCGTCTATGACCTTATTTTTCAGGAGCCATTTTTTCAACCATTTCAGCCATATTTGAAAGAAAGTTCTTAATTGTTTATTGTTTGATGAAAAACAATATAACATTTGTCTCTAGTATAAATATCTTTATAAACTCTGGTTTAACATGAATTTTATTAATTAGTAGAATAACCTGTCTTTAAGAAATAGAACATTTTTAAAAACACAACTTTAAAAAATTATCTTCAACATTTCTAACTTTAGATGACAAATTTGTCATAAGAGATATACTTGGTAGTTTGTAGTCATCCCATAATTGAGAGTAAAGAGTTCTTGACAATGAATCATACTCAAATTCCCTGGAAACCATATCAGAATACTATTTTCACCAATAAGCATTAAAAAGTTCATACTTAACATTTGTTCAATAATACTTTTCTTGTGATCAATTGGTAAAGAATTCTGATAGCATTAAGACAACTAATACAGCCAATAATATTCATATGATTGTAAGAAAAAAGTTTTATGGTGCACTTAACACCATAGTGATGGTACTAAATGCACCATAACTATGGTGTTAATATAACTATTAAAGGGTAAATCATTTTTTATTTTCAAAATAAAATTTGGAACACCCAAGTTGCCTCTATATGGCAATTAGCCGGAGAAGGATAAACTACAATAACAAGAATTCTTAAGTCTTTGTTGGGTTGCATTAATTAGGTGACCTAATTAACAGTTTGCATTGCACCTTCTAACATCAAGCGCAACAGGGGTAACAATTTTTTTGCCCTTTTTTAACTTTTCAAAAAATGCAAATGCACTGTTCTCCATTTATATATATTGAAAAATTTAACTTACTAGGTTACTATTTAACTTGGTGAAGGTTGATGTATTTTTTTAATAATGAATAATAAATAATTTAATAATGAATGAATAAATAATGAAATGAATTTTCATCATTTTTTCCCAATAAATACTAACAAATTCTTTTGTAAAAAAGCAAATGTTAGTTTGTATAATTACTGTTTTATATTATTAGTATTACTAACTTTGATCTTAGATAATTAACAAAAAATGTTTAACAAAATTTTCTTTGTTCATCGTCAATATTTTTTTACTTCATCAAAATCTATCATTTTGAAAAGTAAAATGTAATTTAATGTTTAGTTTTTTATTCAATGAATAGAATAACACTGCAATGTTTTGCAGTGCACTGCAATACGAATAACACTGCAATGCAAAATGTTTTGAAGCAGTTTTGAGCATTTTAAAACTGTTAACAAAACTACTAATAAAAAATTGCACATATAGAAAAAATGCATGTATAATATATCAATATATATATATATATATATCAGCCGACGCATCAAGTTACCAATATATCAATATATAGATGTACCAAGTTCCATTTTTTTTTTTTTTTTTTTTTTTTTATTATACTTCACCTCCTCAAGGCCGAGAAGGCCACTACAGACGAGGAGGCTACTTATTTTGTGGCTATAACCCTCTCTCAACTCTATAACTCCAAAACACGAACCTTGACGAACAAGGCTGCTGCGCAGAGAAACGAGTTGAGCGCGGTACTACCAGGGACGTGGTGGGGATCGAACTCGGAACCACTCGTTTATGAAGCGAGCGCTCTACCACTACACCACTACCATATATCAACAGATTGAAGATGAAAATATATTTCATAGATATTCTTAAAGATAGCATGATTTAGCAGTTGGTTTTAGTGGTGCCAGTGGACTCAAATTTACACAAGAAAATACAGATGGTGGATGTTTTGGTCTTAACTTTTTGTAAACTAAAACTTTTTCTTAGTCTTTAGGCCAATAATCTTTACAAAAAAATATCTGGAATATTATTTCGAGATATAGCACTTATCCATCTTTTTTGTTGATTCATATTCTTTTTATTTGGAAGATGAAAAACTTTCATAGATTTTGTAACATTGTAGTTACCTCTGCATCCAGTGACACAACACTTAAAAACAATATTCTTCAAATCTAATTATCTAGCTCTAAAAAGAAAACAAATGTAACATACATATAACTAAAAATATCACATGTTAAATTAAAAGACTTTTTAATTTTATATGTGATTTTTATTTAATTTTAATTTTATATGTGATATTTATTCGGTCTGTTACTATAGTAGGAAATGAATGTATGTTATTTTTGAAAATGGCAAATACCTTTCAATGCTTAATATTGAAAATAAAATTAGTTAATAATTTTAATTTTGAATTATAATCTGCAAGAGAAGACTGTAAAGTACATTATGGCATATATAAGGAATGATCTTGGTAGATCATTATAGGCCTCAAATTCACATAAATGTGAATTTGAGGCCTATAATGAATGGCCTATCATAAATGAATAATGTGGGATTTTTAGTATTTGTAGCTCAATTTTATTCAACATTCAACAGAAAAAATTTAAAAAAGATATTCATAAAAATAATAAGTATACTGGAGTAAAAAATGTTTATAATAATATAAATAAGAAGAAATAAGTTTATAATAATTGTTGTTGATGAAAACTTCAGAAAAACAACTTTAATTCATGAAGACAACTTTAACGTTCAATTCATAAGACTGACTAAACTAAACAAAGTGAATTTTTTTTTGGATTGTCTGAAAGTTATTTTACAATATTTTAAGCTCAATTTTATTTAACATTTATACCAACATTTGTTTGGTAACAATTTTTTGGCTATTTAGTTGGCTTAACAAAAGTTTCAATATTTAGAATCATGAAGATAAGTTTTTCTATTAATAATACAAGACAATCAGTTCAGTTGATTAAAAAATAAGAATTATAGAATGTCTATTAAACTGATATAAACAATACAAAGCTGAAAGAAAACATAAATGAAAGCTTTCAAAAATGACATTGATCCTTGACTTTTAGTAGGTAAATCTGACAAATAGATAACTGATATAATTCTCCCTCCATGATCTCCTTAAATATAACTCAAGATATTTTAATGAAAAATAATATTTTGAAAGATTACATAGAAGGTTCAGTTGGTATTACCAGTAATGACTATAATGGAGGTGGCTGAGATGGTCCAAACAGCAACAAAGTTTGGAACTAAGTTGATTGCACCTATATCATTCCTACAATGTCTTGACACCCTCAGAGCATTCAAAGTAGGTAGGGATTATTTTATATAACTTTGCATGTGAAAAACAAATAAAAATTCTGTGTGAGTCACATAAAGTATAACAAGATAATTGTTTCTAAAAAGAATTAAAACTGTATACTAGAGACTTGATTTTAAACTTTTAAAATGGGATGGTAACTTCATATAATCAAAGATCACCTGCAAGATCTTAACAGATCATTGTTGAAGGGAAAGAAAAAAAGTCTCTCTCTGGGCAAAGCCATAATTTTCAATGAAAAATATTAAAATTAGCTGTTTCTCTATGTTTTTTTTCTCAAAGATACTAATCTTATATATAGGACATACAAAAAAGATACCAATCTTATATATAGGACATACAAAAAAGATACCAATCTTATATATAGGACATACAAAAAAGATACCAATCTTATATATAGGACATACAAAAAAGATACCAATCTTATATATAGGACATACAAAAAAGATACCAATCTTATATATAGGACATACAAAAAAGATACCAATCTTATATATAGGACATACAAAAAAAGCGCATGAACCTCCCAATAAGGACTGGATAAAATTCCGTTTTCTACATGGACTACCTCTATAGAGTTTATATATTAGGAAAATAAAAATAATAATTATCATTTGAAATAAAGCATTTGAAAATAAGGAATCAAATACTCAAGTATCAAAATTTATCATAAAATGTTACCTCTTTTATTATTAAATTTTAAGAGGTAACATTTTAGGTGGCCTTTCAACGGGCGGTGGAATAGGAGCCATATTTGATCAGCCTTGGCACAGTGGTTGAAGCGCTGGTTTCAGAATCAGGAGGTATAAGGTTCAATGAATGGTAGGAAAACTTATTGATTGTTAATTAAAAAAAAATAATAATAACTTTAAAAACACTCACCAGATAATCGATTGAAAATTAATTTTAAATTGGTTGAAAATGAAAATCTACTTTATAGGTCAAAAAACAAATCGATCAAAAATGAAAATGTCATAAATCGGTTGAAAATATAAAAGACTATTCAGTTGAAAACAATTCTCAGTAGGTCTCAGGCCTCAGTAGGTTATCTGAAAATTAGTTTTACTTTTTAGTAGATGTTCTTTTTGTAGAACAACTTAGTAGGTAAGAGATTTTTGTAGGTCTATCTATCTGACTTGACATTTTATAAGGTAACATTTTATTAGGTAACATAAAATAACATAACATTTTGTTACCTTATTTAAATATATTTTACCTTATTTTGTTACCTCATGAAATGTTGTAAAAACATTTTATGAGGTAACATTTTAATTGGTAACATTTTATGAGGAAACATTTTATGAGGTAACAATTTATGAGGTAACATTTTATGATGTAACATTTTATGAGTAACATTTTATTAGGTAACATTTTACAAGGTTACCTCATGTTACCTCATAAAATAACATAACATTTTGTTACCTTATTTAAATATATTTTACCTTATTTCATTACCTCATAAAATGTAAAAACATTTTATGAGGTAACATTTTATTAGGTAACATTTTATTAGGCAACATTTTATTAGACAACATTTTATTAGGTAACATTTTATGAGGTAACATTTTATGAGGCAACATTTTATGAGGTAATATTTCATGAGGTAACATTTTATAAGGTAACAAAATGTTATTTCATAAGCATAAAATAGTCAAAGAATTATAAAAGTTACATAAAAAGAATTTTGAAAAGTTACAGAAAATTTGTATAATAATTTTCGTAATATAAAAAAAAAAAATTCAATTTACTTACATTGGGTTGGAGCAGGTGGAACTTGTATTATTAAATAATCAGAGACATTTAATGGCATATAAGAATCTATTGCAGTTCCGGTAAATGCATAAAGCTATATAAAAAAAGATTCAACTAATAAGTTAGGTTTTGATGGCAACACTATTTTGTTCTTAGCAAAAGGAACACAGAATCTTTCCTTGTGTTAAGAAAAAAATTGTGTTGCTATCAAATACCTAACTTATTAGTTGGATCTTTGTTAATAATCAACAAAAGTTTCAAAAATAAAAAAATATTTATAAATAACCTAATTTGTATCAAGTAAAAAAATAAAAAAAATTATGAAAAACTTAAATTAATTTTAAATAATTTCCATTTAACTTTAAACTAAAAAATGCATTAATAACCATTTTTAATAGATTTTTCAAATATTAAAGCTATATGCTAAATAAAAAAAAAAACGTATTGAGCAAAGAAGATATGCTCACATAAACACCAAGCAATATTCCTGGAGTTACCATAGTGATGTTGTAGGATAATGCATCCTAATAAACACCAAATGAATATAATTAAAAAAAACAAGATATATATAAATAACTATATTTACTTAAAAAAACACAAAGAAAAAAAAATATCTTCTAAAAAAATAAAAATAAGTAAGGATAATAAGCTTATTTTTGATCATTGTTGCATAAAATGCAATATATAAAAGACAAAGGAAAAAAGCCTAACTGATTCATATCATAGAAAAAGTCTAATATTTAACATAAAAACTATAAATACTAAATTAAAAGTCAAAATCATCGTTTAAAAAAATTAAAAACATTATATTTATCATAACACATTTACCAGCATCATTATTATTACCCATTTATGTCAAAAAGGCTAGAAAATGATTAGGGAACATTCTTGGAAAACTACTGGTAAATTGTAAATCTAAACTTCCCAAATATATTTTCCAAAACCCCAGAATTTGAAAATCTAAATCTTTTAGTTTTATTTTTAAATCTTTTAATTTCGCCATTTTTAACTTTGATTTTTCTGAAACTATTTCTTAGTTTTATTAATTACATGTTAAGTTTAAAATTCTTCAAAACATTCTTAATTTTAGAATATTAGATTGCTGAAACATTCTTAACTTTAGAATGTTTGGAAAACATTTCAAAAACGTTTAAAATACATTTAGAATGTAACTTTAAAAAAAAAAATGGTTCCTAGATTTTAAAACTTTATTGGTTATAATTATTTTAATCTAAGAAAAGACAAGAAACAAAATAAGTATTGTTCAAAAATATTATTATATAAAAGTGAGCCATTTAAATTCTTCCAAAATTTAAAATAGATGTCATAAACTTTCTCTATAAACATTATTTGAAAACTGTAGAGGAAAAATAGAATAAAAATACCCAAAGTAAAAAAAAAAGAACTCTACTATACATTTAAACTTGATGTTCACATTATCTTAATCTCTAAATCAAAAGTTTTAACTCGAAAAAAAGAAAAAAGAAAAAAAAAAGGATCTTCTGAGTTTATTAATTTTTTTTTAGATAATCCACAATTTTTAAGAAATGATCGATTGTATACCATCTAAAACAAAAACAATAAATTAATCTAATAAAAATATCAAATGAGATATTTGCACAAATTGATTATTTGCACAAATTAGATATTTGCACAAATTAGATATTTGAATGTATTCCTTTTTAATACGCTTTTTTAATGTTTTTTTAAAAAAATTATAATAAGTTAAAAAAAATATAAGCATAAGAAAAAGTTTTTAAAATTGTTTGTATTTACTCAAATAATACATTTCCGGGGAACAGTACAAACAATATATACTATTCCAGGAAAGCAAAACGTCCAAGATTTACTTATCCTTTATAAAGATACCAAGTTCACATACAAATGTTGCATATATAATTATTTGCTTTTTACAATAAAATAAAATTATTAAAAGGTACAAACTTTCTAGAAACCAGGCATGTGCAGTTGTTGAATAAAAGGGTTAGGCAAATTAAGCAGGTTGTCCTGCAAGTGGTTCTAAAGTAGTGTTACACAAGTTGTAAGCTGTGAAGTAATGTAATAGTTTAGAAGATATTTTAAGAATCATTAATACTACATTTAAAATATACACTACAATACCAATTAAAAAATAAAAATATAAGTAAAAAATAGAAAATATAGCCTACAGAAGCAATTATTTTTTCTGTATAATTTTGAAAAGGAAACAATGTATTTGAGAGTTGACCATATGCGATTTTATACTGTGTTATTGGAACTGAAAATAAAGGTTTGATCCATAGAACTGTAATGTTGTAAAATTGGAGGCTAGAATTACTATCAAACATCTTCATATAGAATAGATCACTAATCGTAAAATTCTTGGTTATTGGTGGAACAGTGGGTTCTATAAATACAAAAAAACATTATGTATTGATAATACATTAGCAATAATCATTTATCATTTAACCACCAAACAATCCACATTTACATTTGCATAAATCAACAATATAAACTTATAAATTGTAAAGCTATGTAGCTTTAAGTAAATATTAAAGAATATATCTTTGAAATTAAATTTGTAAGCAAGTTAATTTTGATTACAGCAAAAATTTAAGTCAATATTTTTTGCTAATAAAATCTAATGAGCAACAACTTTGAAAACTTTTGAGGAGGTAAAAAAAATAATTTTTAAAATTTGATTAAATAAAAATAATTCATCAATCAAATTTAATGAATGAATAAACAAGATCATCTTTGTTGTTGTCATCTCAAAAATCAATTCAAATGTCATCATTTTAAAATTTAATTTGAAATCTCAAAAGCGACAAAAAAAAGAAAAAAATTCTTTATTTAGTTTATGAATAAATATAACTTTTAATAATGATAAAACCAGATTTATCACAATATGAAACCTCTTTTGGAGCCATTGCAGATGATGTATTAATTTGAAATAATAGATGGTGTATTAATTTGAATAAAAAACTTTTTTAAGTAGAGATAGTGTGGAATCATCACAACAAGTGTTTCAAAGTTGAAGGAGAATATATTAATCATCATTTCTTACACATTCTTTCATTTTTGATTTTAAAACATTTAATAAATGTATATATAGTTATTTCCAGTTATATTGTAAATGATAAGTTTATATGTAATTTATGCGTATACTTTTATGTTGTGTTTTAGAGAAAATATAAAACTTGAAATAAATTTACAATTTTTATAAATTAAAATTGCTAAGATTCATTAAGGATAACATACTTGATAACATGGTTAAAGAAGTTTTATCTGCTTTAAAAAAAAAATAAGTTACTCATTCAGTAAGGATAACATACTTGATAACATAGTAAAAGAGGTTTTATGTGCTTTAAAAAAAAAAAAGTTATTCTTATTTAAAGAAAATTATAAGTCAAGTTTAACATACATAAAAAAAGAGTTAAACTGAACCACTATATCACTATCAAAATATTTACCCTTCTTAATAAAAGAAAGAAAGAAGTGTTCATAATACCTCAAACTGTACACAAACCTCAAAACCCAAAATTTAATACGCAAAAAAAACTTTTTTAAAAAAATTTTAAAGCTTCAAAAAACGAAGCCTTTTTAAAAATGCAACTGTCTTCGGCTCTACAAAAAAAAAAAAAAAAAAAAGTCAGCAGATGCAGATGAATTTTTATTTTTAAATAGGAATAAGGAACTAAGTTGTCATGTTGACCAATTAACTTCTGAAAATAAAACAAATGTAGAGCAAATAGAGAAATTAAAATCGCTGTTATTAATGTTGGATACTGAAATTTGTAATATAAATTCTAAAAATAAGGCTCTTAGCACACATTGTAATTCATTATGTTCTCAAGTAGAGACTATGAGTATTAGGCTAAAACAGGAGGAGCATTTCCAACTTATTTAAAAAAAAAAAATCAAAACAGCGCAAATTTGCATCTGCTCATGCCAAAAATGTAAGTTTGCTAAAAAAATTAAATTTGAGAAAAATAATGCAAAAATTAATGATATACACCAGAATGGTTGCCAAATTTGAAAATGTCTTGAAAGCGGTGATAAGAATTTAGTTGTTGTTGATTCTTATTTAGACTTCTTATTTGTTGTTGATTCTTACTTAGATTTCTTATTTATGACAACATTGGTTCCACTGAACTGTTCTGTAGATTTAAATTAAGTAATCCACAGACTATATCAATTAAAAGGCCAATAGTTGGTAAAAAAACGCTTAAGTTAGGATATGGTAAACCTTATTCTAAAAAAGGTAGGCATGCTGTAGCTAGACGATCTAGACTTGCTTTTATATTCCTTCGATTATTAGCTTGTTCAGATTTTGAAATTGATTTGTCTATGTTGTTTTGTGATTCTATGTCTTGTGAAAAGTCAATATATTGTTATGTTGCAAATAAGTTAGGTTTAGTTAGGCAATTAAGTGTTTCTGATACTGTAGAGCTGCAGAGCCCATTATGCCCATGGCTGAATTCCGTAGGCTAAGACGTATTTTGTGTAATCTTGGTGAAAGGATTCTTGCCTCTGAGCCCAAGATTAGACAAGAACTAGAAATGTGGACAATGCATGTCAATAAAAAACATGTCACTGTGAAGTCCATGTTACTTTATCCATCTGCGAATGAAGCACCTTGTTTAGTATCTGTACTAATGGTCAAGAATTTGACAACTTATATTGAAGAGGTTTTTAATAGTCTTCACGTACGCGACCACCTTATTTCGGATGTTGGTTTTGGCGAAGAGGTATGGCTCCTTTTTGCTGGGGATAAGGGTGGAAAGTATATGAAATTCCATTTTGAAATTGTCAATTCGAAACCGTCAGGGTCTGTATATGTTCATTTGTTTTGTATGTATGAGGGTTATATTAAGAGAATATTGCCTTAATTTTTGGGCATTATGCCAACGACATTAAAAGAATTCAGTCACCAGATTTTAAGCTAAAAGGCAAAATAGTCAGGTTGTTCTTAGGTGGAGATTTTCATTTCATCGATGATGTTCTGGGACACCAGGGTTCAGCTGCTAGCTTTCCTAGTTCTACAGATCTAGTTGAATTGAAATCTCTTAAAAACCATGCTTCTATGCCTCACACACCTGCTAATTGTAACATCTTAAGGAGAACAAAATAATCTCTGGAAAGTGCTTACAATGAGAACTTGTGTGAAAATAGGCAAGGTGGAAACTTAAGAGCTCTAGGTAAGTTTCATAAATCAATTATTGCTCCTGTGATATTCCCCATAATAACTTTAAATGATGTAGTACCACCTGTTTACATATTATGTTAGGAGTTGTGTTAAAACTGTATAAGTTATTGTTGAAGGAGTGTAAGACTTTAGATTGTCAAGCTGATTTGTCTTTGTCGCATTATGAGAATGTGAGAATAAATGAATTGTGGGCTGCTAAAAGCGTTGAATGTTCTAAAACAGCAGAAACTTTGCGTTTATTAGGAAACCAATTTGTAGACGTTGCAAATCTACAGGGGCGATGGTTAGCTTTAAATAACAATTTTTCTGAATTAGAAAGCATATCCCTAAACTCTTCCAATAAAAAAAAACCTGTAAACAGCATGAAGTGTGTGCTAGTATCAGGTGTTTAATTACTAAATATGATTGTAACATTGATTGGGTGCAATGTGGTACGTGTTAAAAATGGTTTCATCAATTTTGTGAAATTATTGGTGATTCAGAAAAGAGTGTATTGTGTGACATAGAGATGTACAAGTGTTTAGCATGTCAGGGGGAAGATATAGAATGCCTTGACCTTTGTATTTCTGAAAAAATTTCTTTTATATGCGCACAACACGAAGTTTTAGACATTGAATATATTAAATTGCAGATGGAGTGTGAAGACCTAGAAAAAATATCCAAAAGTAGCATGGGGACTCATGAGAGGTCTCTTAATAAGGCCCTTGAAGATAAGAAACCATTATAAACTTTGTAGTGTTATTGATGATGAAGCTATTAAAAATAGATTTGTATGTGTGTTTAGTGTTTTTAAGTTGCAACCTATTTTTTTTAAGCAAAAATTTCTTTCTGATGCCAAAACTACTGAGCTTCATCAATATATAAATTTATTTGCATTCGAGTTTCATGCTTGCTTTCCAAAAGATAGAATCACGCAAAAAATGCATGAACTCATTTTTAATGTGCCACTATTTGTAAAATTGCATAAAACTATTGGGTTGCTGATTGGAGAGGAGGGAGAGTGTTTAATTAATAGTGTAAATAAAGAATTAAAACAGTTGCATTCAGTAAGAAATCAGGAACAGAAGCTGCATCTTGTTTCAAAACGCTTTGAATTGCACAGCAAAGCTGATAGGAAGCTTCAAGCCTCTAAGGTGAAAAAGTATGTTGTGTGTTATGAGCGTGGTGAAAATTCATTTTATAGATGAGGCCTTTGTCTTGTTTGTGGTCATAAAAGTTAGTCTAAATAACTAAAAAATAAAGTTTTTAAAATATTTATCATTTTTTATTATCAATTTTATATATATATTGGTGCCCATTTCATTCTTATCTTCACAAGTTAATTATACTTATGCAATACCATTCAGGTTAAAGAATGGTATATAAGTCTTGCATCAAATGGGTGTAAAAATATAGCTTACTACTTTAACTTATGAGCAGAGCAACTGGTAAGTTGGTTGGCTATGATATAAAATATTAGTTTGTGTAGTTAATTTTAATAATGTATTGGCTTTTATTATATGTAACATTTAATTTAAATATTAGATGCCCATTCAATTATTATCATCAGAAGTTAGTTCTACCTCTGCAGTACCTCTCCTCAACATACTTTCTCTCTGGTTAAAGAATAGAATTTAAGTCTCATAAATAAAAAGTTAGTGTAAAGATACAGTTTAAATAAAGAATTTACAAAAGTTATGGTCACTATTGTGAGTCTGTTAAAAGCCATCTTCTAATCTTTTTGAACAAAAACTATTTTCGAAAAACTAATCTTCTGGTTTAGAATGGAGCATGAATCTAATATCAACTGGGTGTTCAAAGATTGTTTTCTACTTAAAGAACAGAATCAGTAGATTAACTTATTATAAAACAGTTTTATACGAGAATAAAAACACATCAAACAAATAAAATTAGCTATTTGTATATTTAAACAAATGTTTTATTTTTTGTGAGAGGAGGCTGACTCAAGTGCCATAAAATAATTCTATTACCAAAAGCGAGGTTAATTCAAAAACTTCAACACAGTTGTGGTCATGAATTATTTTATTAGTCTTAGTGAGTCTTATTTTTTAACAACTTAACACAATATTATTAAAACTCGATGCATAGAAAGAAAGAAATTGCTAAAGTTTTTTAAAGGCTTTAGCTTAGAATGTTAAGACTAAATATTTCAAAATCGACATCTGGCTTTATTTTGTAATGCATTAAATTTATCAACTTAGTGAATTTTTTTCATATTTAAAAACGTACTCATTTAACAGATAATCCCTCTTTAAATGACATTTTTAATAATTTTGCAAAAAATGTGGTTTGCTTGCAAATTTCAATAAAGACTATTTTTGTTAACCTTAAGCAATTAAGTAAGGTTTTTTTATTTTAATAAAAGTGAAACAACGAGTGTAATTGATAATAATTATCAGAAATATATTTTTCTGATTTTTTTTTTGATAAAAAGTAACAAGTAATTACTAAAATTTAGCCAAGTTCATTATTTGTCATATTTTTTAAAAACTAAAAGAAGTTTTTTTACTATTGTATTAAATAGCGTATGATAAAACATTTTATTGTTGTTTTAAATCTTTTTACAAAACAAAATTATCTCAAATATTTCAAAAGTTATAAATGTTTTCGTAACACCCATTAAGTAAACAATTTCCAAAAAAAAACAAGACGCAGTAAAGCTCACTCTGAAACCGTGGCTACGGCTGCAGTAGGTTTAATATTTAAATGTTTGTGCCTAAGCTAATATTGTTCTAGTTTTTATGTAGGAATGCAAGCTGCTAAACTAATTAAAATTAAAATTCTCATTCTCCAAAGGAGAAACTGGAACAATGACAACCCTAGGCATAATTGGGCATCTAGCTGTCAGTGTACACTAAAGGTTTTGTGTACCACATATACTGTGATTTTCCTCTTATATTCTTATATGTCTGCTATAGGGGATATATATCATAAACAGGCTGCACTTTTTAAAATAATTTATATGCCGGAGGGCTTGCTATACACAGCATTATTTAATTTGTTCAAGCTTTTACTGGTGTAAAGTTACATAACTATTGGGTAAACAAATTTAAATTAATAAACTTATAAAATTTAATAAGGGTTAATTAGGAAACATTCATATACTGATATAAAATTAAAAAAATATTGAAATGCCAGAGTCCCAACAATTTTTATGACAGACAGGACTATAGACTCCAGGTAAAAACAGCGACTCCTAGATTCCAACTTTGCATCCCTGATTAACCTTATAAAATAAAATTTGAAGTTGACCTCTGCCTAAAGATTCAATGTGATCTTTTATATAAATAATATAATGAAAAGGTTTTAGTCATATATCTCTCTTTAAAAAAATTAACTAAAAAAAGGTATGTAAATGATATAGTATGTAAATATGTAAATTATATCTTGGTTAAAGAAGATCACTTTAAGATTTTTTGATTAAAAGAGATTGTTTGGAGAAGAATTTTGTTAAAGAAGATTAACTTTACTAAAAACTAATTGAGCAACCAAAATGGCCTCTATGTGTGTTTTTGGGCTACACAAGTATTTTCTTAGTTATTGTTAAAAGCAAAACAAAAAAAAATTTAATGGTATAATTGAGTTTTTTGATCAAAAAACAATAAATATTTATTAAAATCAAATTTATTTACGATTGCTAGATTTTGAGTCTATGTGAGTTACTAGGACCAGGACACAGGTCAGTTTCTAGTTGTGTATATAAATAAAATTAGAAAAAATTACTTGAAGTGTTGCTTATTATGCAATAATTTGGATCATAACTTGAAACATATTGACAACCTGTAAAATGATAATTAAATAAAAAAATTATCCAACAAAAACATTTTTATTATGAAATAATTTAATCTATAAAAAAAATAAATAAATAAACAAACACATAACTTGTTATTTTAAATAGCAGCAGTTATATAAGTAAAAGTCACATGTAAAATAAGTATTTCACATTTTGCCAGAAACTAATTGTGCAACCAAAATGGCCTTCATGTGTGTTTTTTGGCTACACAAGTATTTTTTTAATTATTGTTGAAAGCAAAACAAAAGAAATTTTAATGGTATAATTGCGTTTTTTGATCAAATAACAATAAATATTTATTAAAATCAAATTTATATATGATTGCTAGATTTTGAGTCTATGTGAGTTACTGGGACCTGGACTCAGGTCAGTTTCTAGTTGTGTATATAAATAAAATTAGAAAAAATTACTTGAAGTGTTGCTTATTATGCAATAATTTGGATCATAGCTTGAAACATATTGACAACCTGTAAAATAATAATTAAATAAAAAAATTATCCAACAAAAACATTTTCATTATAAAATAATTTATTTTATAAAAAAAATAATAAAAATAAAATAAAATAAACACATAACTTGTTATTTTAAATAGCAGCAGTTATATAAGTAAAAATCACATGTAAGTTAAAGTAAACTTAGTTTGACTAAGTATTTCACATTTTGCCAGAATGTTTCATAATTCTAAGTCTGAAATATTATATAAATTATATATTTGTATTTCATAATAAAAGTGTGTAATGTCAACAAAAAAAAAGTGAATCACAATATGATTAAGAGCAAAAATTCTTATTGTGAAAAATAAAACTTTTTCTAAAAAAAATTCAGAAAAAAATTATATTTTGATAAATACTGCTATAATTATTTTGAAATTTTTACTTTTTTTAAAATATTCACAATTTTAAATAAGGTTTAAATAAAAAAAAATAAAATAATAATATATTAACTTTGAGGTTTTTAATTGTATTAAAAATATTGTTGTATAATAGCGAACAACCTTTAATAATTGACTGATATTGGATATCAATGAACTATAGGAGTTAAAATCAAGGAATGGTCACAAGCTAAATTTTACTATTGAGTTGTTCAATTTTTGTTTGCAAACTTAT